TTATGAAATGCTTACAAACAGCGTAAAGTTGCAGAGGAACTTATCTACTACACTGTGTTCAGAATCCTTGGTTGCAGCTAAGTTCGGTAGCATCCCTTCTCAAAAATATTGGTTTGATAACATTCTGGTAACCGCACCACACCGTGATTGCTGACACGCTAGGACGAAGTATCATGTACTACTCGGGCACGACTTCACACGTTGCAAGCGACTGACAATGAGGGAAACAGAGATAGGATTTTTAGAACTTTTCGCGGTTTCTCCTACAGATATTTCTTAAGCGATTTGAAAACGCGGTAATTACTGTTAGTTGGGCAGAAATTATTGACACAAAATGGTGAAGTTCTTGAGGAGTGAGTAGAATTGTTCTCAACTATGCAACAGCTTTCCTAGAAACATGCAAAGATTAAACGTCTTTTGGAAGAATACAGAGAGCAGCGACACATTCACCAAGTAGGATGTGGATTGGTATATCAGGAACACATGTTCTTTCGAGTTGGAAGTCAACAAGCTATCAGCGGATATGGCTACGCGGGAAAAATTTGACTTGGTTAATCAAGGAAACAGAATGTAGATAATCAAATGGATGTTAAAAGGTCCATGTTTATTTCCATAATATCAATGCTTGGCCTCAACGTGCTACGGGGATGCTTTTTAGTAACCCGTCACGAATTATTTTTTCGACAGATAGCTACACCGTTGTCAATTTCTTAGATATATTCTCCTAAAAAACCTTCTTGCGTGCTGTCCTAAGGAACATGCACTATTCTGGGGATTCTGCTTAATATAGGTTTATGGAAAGCTGCACCGACGTGCAGTGATTACTCGTAGCTAGATGGGCGAGTTTGCATGAAACAAATATTTTCGAGTCAGTGATGGAGATAACGGCAAGTGAAGAGGGCTGGTGAATTGAAAAAGTGCTTTTGCAGTTGTTTTCGGACAAGTTTGGGAGAAAATTGGTAGATTTATTGATGTGTAGCCTTTCGCTTTTTACACAAAAGTTTTGTCAAGCCAATTGACCACGTTATGATGTTGGTCAAGATTAAAGGCGGATGGATAACCAATCAGTCAAGTAGACTAAAGCAATTAGGCCTCTGCCGAAGGATTTTTTGTTAGAGCGGATCAGCAGTTGTTAAGGCCGATGGGGAACGTCCATTGATTTGAGTTCAGCATAAGGACTAGTTCTTCCGGTTTGCTTCCTCTTGAACGTCGTTCACACTTTTTGTCAATCTGTGAATGAGCTAGTGCTACGATAATTGTGTAAGGGATCCTGTGAACTTTGATAGGGTGAAGATTTCTGATCCATTTTTTTACTGATTTTATGTATGTATATCAGAATGTTTGGAATCACGTGACAACAAAGAAGGGGTTGGGAGAGAAATCTGGTAGACATCCAGTAAGTCACTGCATAATGTGGAATCTGAACTTGGGATTTACGTGAGAGCAGGTTTTAAAACAAAACGAAGGAGCGAAAATTTGGCAAATCTCGTAGTTTATGCTGAATAACTAATGTGTTAACCTTTCGTGATCTAAATCCACGTAAAATTTCCAGGTTACCCAGTTGAAATTGCTGTCTTTGGGAAAGCTCCTGAATTTATCGAAACCTTCCAAATGGACGTCACCAAAGTTATCCGAATGAAAGTTGCTTTTTTGGAGCACAATTACTTCAAAACACTTCTATTCGACACCACTTATGGACGCTGACAGAGCATCCAGTTCCCGATTAATAAAGACTTTTTACAAGCCTGTGATGAATATTAAACTATCCAAATACAATGCACAAGCCTACGCTGTTTTCTTTCCTTTTTGAAAACAATCCTTGTACTGTGACCAAAGCCCGCGTTTCTCACCATAATACGTACGGAATCTGAGATAATGCGATCATTGGATCTTCAGCCTCGAAATTATTCACTGTCAGTATTCTGCTTCGATGTGCTATAAATAGTAATTTTGCCAAGGTTACCGATTTATGTGTACGAAGATGTCCCGCACCCTTTCTTTGGTTTGCAAACTCATGGACGAGTGTTTGGGGGACGCACCTCCCAAGCATCCACCTACTCTAGCTGAACAGAAGTCTTTACCTCACAACCAAACGACTACTTGCATCTCAGTTCGTGTTCGGTGTGTAGAACGATGCAACGGATTATTCTGCTTAAGAGTACATATGTTATATGTAGGACAATATGTCGTCAGCCAAAACTGCTACCGGGCGCTATTGTTCCCGCTTATAATAAAATAATAATTCGAATTATCTGTAAATGAGTCCTTGCGCATATGCAATCTTGCCTCAGTGTTATGGTGAGGGAACACCGATCTTGAGGTTCACCTAATGTCGGAGGGACAGTAATAGCTTGAATTGCCGGAGATTAAAAGTGGAAATTACGTTCAGATCGGTCGCGATTTTCAGCTATCAACCTAGTACGAAGAGTACACTGCTTACAGGTATTAGAATTTTGGTCATGGAAAGCTGGAAAACAAGGAAAGGTGTAGGAAACATAGGTGACGATGACCTTATCACTTGCTCCGGTTTTTGATGGATGGGGAAAGTGGAAGGGCACGCGTTGGAGTCGATAGATTTGATGCAGTGGAGCCACTGATTGTGTGACTGAGTGGTGTTCTTAGCCGTTGCTGCTCAATAATTAATTGTGTCCGGGAGATTTCCATCCATGGAGGTAGCGGTTGTCATCCCAACTGAATTTTGATGGTTTCAGCTTTCATAGTTCGTGGCCAGATGATAAGGTGCCCCCCTCTCAGTAACTTTAATTATAAGAACGTCAAGGGTAGAACATTAGAACCATGTGTACATCTGCTTTGTATAGATGTGAAATGTCTATTCCATAAGTCGCTATGGGTCGCACTTCAAAAGATCTACGTGCAACTGGCACCGTAATGTCGACGGTTAGTAAAGACTGCCCTGGACTTCCCTACTAAAAGGATGATATCAGCTTCAGCTAGTCCGCCGGAACCTCAACAACTCTCAAGGTAAAGAAATCTATCTATCATTTATCTATCAAAATTTTCTTAAAGCATGAGAGGTATGGATTTGCTTTCAACCAGTCTTGTAGAAGCACTTCACAGTGTGCAGGTGTGAAGCTCATATCAAGCTGTGTGATAGTGTTCAAGTTTCCAAACTGGGTGCTTTTTGCGCTGAAGGAAGGATATCACGTAGTGGATTTCTGCTTCAGTCGGTGACAACGTTATGATAAGGCTTTTTGGGTTGTTTCGGGGGCTGTGTCTACAAAGCCAACCGAAAATTTCCTTGATATGCCCAACTTATCGATCGAGACATCCTTTCACTGAATTAATAGGTGTTTCTTCTCTTTACAGATCATTTTGTAGACACCTTTTTCTTTTGGCCAGTTGAAAAACCAGATAAAATACGGCACATCTTTTTCCGCAGCGGAAGCTTTCTCTCATCCCCTTGGCTTCCGCAATTTATTGCCATTTACTACCATTCTTTAGGTTCTTGATCTCCGGTGTTCAGTGGATCTGTGTGCATCTTCTTTGTCAATAGTTGCTTGTGAGTTCTTTCCGGCACTAATAAGGGCTGCTGATATCAATAAAATCTAGTGTGCATTTGGTCACATTGAATGGCTTGGGCAAACATCCTTAAAAGCTGAAAGCACAGCCTTCACGTCCTTGTGCTTATCCAACTAATATTTGTCATCATTGCGACCGTGAGTTTCCAGCAGTCTTCCAGCAATATCCACTGGATAGTGGTAAGATACCAGAATCCGTTGAGGATAAAGTTTATCTTGCACGACCTTATTTTGACCCACTTAGTCGGCTGTTCTCTTGAGGACAAGCCAGACTGCAGTTTCAATGTAGAACAACACTAAGTGCGGCGACGCTTCACTGCACATTGAGACCTCATTCTTAGGTGCTTTTCACGAAAATAATACAGATCTGGCGCCAACTCATTCAAACCCGGACAGTGAAAAAACACATCAGTTGTTAGTCAAACTGTTAAAGGAAAATTCGACTGCTATTATTCTGGTTCATTCACTAGTTTCATTTTCACACGGAAGTATTGAACAGCTATTGCTCACGAAACGAAAATTTTGTTGGTACTGCACTATTAGTTGAGCCAACTATTCTGAGTTAATCGGTTTTTAGTAGCCTTGCCGTAATCTAGTTTCTTAGAAATCATGAAGAGTTCATGCAAAAACGAGCCTCTACTTCACCTTGTTTTTTATGTACATTTGTCTTAACTCTAGCAGTATTCTGTCTGCTTCTGGTCGTCTATCCAGGTTACACTTTTTAGAATGTGTTCTACCCAGTTAATTAGTCCACTGAACTCAGCGTCCACGCGTAACTGTTAAGCTGTTGATACGGAAGATAGTCATAAGGGAGCATTTCCGTAAAAAAATAACAGGAGTAGTTTTTGTTCTTATGGTAATCCTCCCAGAAAGTTGCTTCTAAACAGATGCTGGTCTTCCTTAATTCCACTTCAGAATTATCCGTTAGGCAAGAAATGATGTACGCTTCTTCTAGAGAGACGATATTCTCTCATTCAGGATACGAACACCTCGTTTCCTGCATTAATGACAGTTATGAATAATCCTTTGGTCAGCCACATTATCAGATGGTATTAAATGAATTATAACACGTAGCCGTAGTTTGTAGTTGAAAATATACTATGTCTACATTGGTCTACCTGCATTCAAGAAATTTTATCGACCGAAGTTTACATTTCAACTGGTCCATTTTAACGGTATAGGATGAGGTTTTTGGAAACCATTTGGCTCAAAGTACAATGTGTGCCACCGGTTCTTAAGCTGAAAATGAACCTGGCCAGCACGCCTACTGCTTGGGTAAGTGAATGGGAACTTTTCATTTGACTTGCTGCTTCAAATTCAACCCTTCCGATCCACTGTTATATTGCGTTGTCAAGCTTAGAGCCAATGCGGAGGGCTGAAGTTGAATACTTCACCCACTGAACGCGTGTGTGCTATCTATTAATTCTGATTAATTCTGTTTTTTATATTATTTCGAAACAGTGCAGGCGAACGAGAATAACGATGCCAGAGTGATGTTTTCTGACGTGGAAATTAAACCAGCACATAGCTCACAGACCGAGCATGAAAAAAAAACGAGCAGAACAAACATACCACTGCGGTCGAGATTTTCAAAGTTCTGCTGTTGGTCGCTATGTGCTTCTAGTACACGAAAACGTGTCAAAGAAGCGGGTACTGCCTCAAAAGTAGAGGACCCCCCTGCTCAGTCATATTTGTCAACGAAAGTGCATGAATCACGCGGTCTCTGGAAGTGTAGCAAAAATGACTCTCGTGATTTATCCCCGGGAACCGGTCAATCCTCACCGCTACAAACTTCTGCAGATTCTGGTGTGAGCAAATGGTTAAAGTCAAGAACAATTCCGATTTTTCGACTAAAGACCTCTCCAAAACGGTCTACTACTCAGACATTAAATTCTCTCCATGGTTCTCCTTCCTCACTAATAAGTTCCGCTCCTCACAAAAATTTGGACCCTACCGTCAGTGAGCATCTCGGCTTCAGGACAGATATAGAACAACCGGCGAATACGAATGAAGCAGCTGATATTTCTAGCAAAGCAACAGAGTATATATGTGCCTTACAAGCTGCTGGCCTCGATTTTTGCGCAGACGATCGAACTTCACTGTCTTCGAATGCCAGTGACTCCGATCTCCGCCGGGCTATTAGCTACTGTGAGAAGCGGTAAGTTTATAAAAGAATGAGTAGTATCAACTTAGAAAAGAAGATAGTGAGTAGTTACGTTGTCATTGTAAAGAACAGGTCACCTCAATGAGATTGTAGGCTTCAGAACGCTATTATGCAACTCTTTTCTGAAGATCTCAGATCCATTGACACTTAAAATTCCTTATTGGCCCGAATGGTTTTTATATTGTTTGCATGAAGGTGAGTGAAACATTGCACAATTGTCAAAACCAATATTGCTAGGAATTGAAAAAATATTTTTTTCTACAGTGAGGAGATGTTGAGGACTCTACAAGATACAAAACCAGGTACACGCAAATGTTGTTAGGTAACCGGTAAACACTCCGGTCAGTGCCAAATGCATCTCTGAAGCGTTGCTCCCGATGAGGAACCAAAATTTTTACGTTAATATACTCACTTCCGGACCACTTTCCGTCGATGTTTACCGATGTCAAGAATTTGAATGACTTTTTGGCGGCCAACTTAGTGTACATTGGCCTCTAGCAACTAGGAGTAATTCCGGAGGCAGTGTTTTAGAACAACCGGTAGTTCAAACATGCATCCAGTGTTAACGACTGGGGTCGTTCGTTGAATGCACGGAATGTCGACTCTTAATGAAATATATTAGAGTGGTGCCAGCATTGTCCTATATATTCAGTTTCTGGACCGTCTTAAGCGGATACTTGGATTTCTAGTTTGCAGCAAATTAGGATCGGAACATGACCGTTAGCACAAGAGCCTTTAATTCATTTCAACTAGTCAGAAATATATTTAAGTCACTTATTAAATGTACAAATATACAGGCATTCAACTTTTTTACTTATTCTACTTATTTTATTTTATCTAATCAATCAGCGGGAAATTTTAGCAGGGTTTATTGAAATTTTGATTGTAATCACGTTTTCATAGTCTATAGGCACTTTAAATTTTCAAGTGATTCCGGGGGAACCAGTAACAATATCGGGCTCAGGAGCTTGAAAATCTTTCTGAAAGTGCCTTTTACACCCGCTGTTTATCTACAAATAGTATTTGAAAGTTCCGTTTTCTTTGCGATCACAATAGCTCTCAAAAACAGGCCAGTTGAAGGTGAATGTTTTCGACTTTTTAGAACTTGCTTGCGACTGATACTCATTACCACCATCAACACCATCACCATCACCATCACCATACTCACCATCATCATTATCATAATAACGTCGTCATCATCCTCATTTTCGTCATTCTAATCACCATGATCATCATCATCATCATCACCACCCCCTTTACCAACAACACAGCATCGGCCTTTAATACTGACGTCTCGCTGTATGATAAATGTAAATTAGTTGAAAACCTCATTGCGAAGAAAAGCATAAAAGGGAATTGCGAACAGTCCATGCACTAGCCCATCATAATCGGTCGGAGAGGCCTACACTCCTGGGCGACATAGTGTTAGTTTTTAACACTGAATATTCTCTCGATAATAATAATAATACGTTTAGGCTAATGCGCATATCGGGCGTTTATCGTTTGCGGGAGAGATAAGACTGAAAATCCCAATTATGATATCCATGTTATTTTGGTACGCGAGCCTTCCGTAAACTCTGCAGCTCATATTTGTATACAAGGATATTATTTTAATGTCCACTTACACAAATACATTTTCACTCGGGCTAGCGCTCCTCCAATCAGTATGACGGCATTTGTTGCGACATTTGTGGTGACGGTAGGGAAATGATGTGCCTGTTGTTAAACTATGTCGAAATTATTTTGACATGTGGGAGCCGATCGGCATTACATTGCTGCTATCAAGAAGCCATAACCCATGGCGATAAATACATATACATCCATATGTATAGATATACATGCACACTACACGGACGTTTAGATACTTATATATGACGATAGCCTTATTACAATACACAAATATCATTACTATTTCGGCCTTACTTAAGATTTAACGGTCTTCAATCTCCGTTCTACCTTAGTCTGGACCGGTTATCACAAAGTCTAATGTGTATTCGAAATTACTTCACGCAAGCCAAATCTCAGGACCAACATCAGGAACACGTTGGATTCACAGGTCAGCCAGCCAAGCCAGTTGCGCCGGAGCCTGGAGTTTTTTTGCAGAAGGTTCTCGACATTGAGGATTGGTCTGCGTCTGACTTCGGGTTGGTTGAACATCAAATAAATCAGATATCGCAGAAACTACAGCGCATAAAGTATCATATTGACGTGAGTACAAGGCCTGATTTTTATCAGTTTAATTGTTTCTTTCACATGTCAGTATAGTAGCCTCATATTCCATTATAACAATGAATGCCGTTCATCCAACGCCTCATTATTACCTGTCAGCTACCTCTCTTACTCATACATTCAGTTACCACTGATCTTTAGTCGTCCCATGCATCTGTCAAATCCGTCAACATATACCCTTAGATTTTGCTGATCTAGACATACCAAAGTATTGACTTGCATGGGGTTCAGTCAATCCATCCGACCTGAGTTACCATGGTTTTTCGTCGAACACACAAATACATGTTGACATTTGGTGTTAACGAAGGTTATGGTGAAATATTGAGTCGCGAAATACAAAGCAACTAGAAGAATTACATTTGCTGGTCATCCAACCCAATCAGCGAGCCAAGATTCGCTCTGAAGAAATCTTTTTGTTACTGTTGTTCAGCTTGGCGTCCAGTTCCCCAATTTTATGTAGGTCATCTCTCAGCACTCATGTTGTTTCTCCTTATTACTTGCCTGGATACTTGCTTGATACATTGAAGCAGTATGGATTTCTGAGTTTTTTGAGGTTGTTCTGCACCACGTTCCTCCATCATCATCAGAGACAGCAACTTCGGTTTCGACGTAGACATTTACTCTCGTGTGCCTGAAGCATTTACTTAATTATGTTTATAACCTTAAACTATAAAGTGAGAAGAGTAGACGGGGTACCCTGTTACTTTAAGCATCCATAGATGCCTATATCTCCAAACTCTCAATCAGACAATTGGATAGCACAGACTGACAGCACAAATGTCACCGACGTGGATTAGTTTCCGTTTCTTCTGATGCCTGCAGTCGAGCGCAGTTATGAAAGGCAGACCGACCAATAATACACGTCCCTCGCAAGCTCTTTCATATTCTTTCGTCACGCCGCAACTTGTCCACCTAACAGTTTCAGCCATTCTGGGATAGCCAAGGAGAGCAATGCTCGCCTCGTCAGACGATAATTTGGCACAAGTAGCACATACATCCGGAGCCTGAGACCGCTCAGTGGATAAGATGCAAACTTACTGATTGGGGACCATGGTGCAATCCAATTTCTACATTTCTACTGTTCCTGCCCAGGCTTTGGCAACCTGGTAGTATCTCAACCCTCGTGCTTCCTCTTGGGGACATGACAACTAGGCACCGACTATCTTCATTTCTGGTTAAATTTTGCAATCCGTCCTTCCTCAGAAGACGGCAGCATTGCTTCCTCCACAACTATGGAAATGCCAGTTGCCTGGAGGAAATTGCTTACTCCCTTTACACTCATGTCACAGAACAGTACGACTTTGTCTCCAGACTTCCTCGTAATACGTTTTCTTGCAGTAAGGCGATTTGCTGTTCTTCGTTGGGCTGTTCTCATATGACATTTTTGGCACGGTAGAATTCTTAGCAACTGAGTTCTAGTCAGTTAAGCACGCAGGATCACTACAGCACAGATGCCCGTCCACAATGGTAGGATGACAGCTTTTGATGAGGTTGTTCTCCGTGGCTGAAATGTCTGATACAAAACCAAATCCCCATTTTATAATTACCATGTTCCGAATTCTTTCGTGTCATACGGACCGGCAACACGTTTGGGACATTTGCGGTCAGTAACCTGAAGTCGCCTCAGATCAACTGTCCGCTTTATCAAAGATGAATAATGTGGTATGTAATAATTTCCACAACCTATAGTACTTCTTGAATTGCAAGAGGTATTTCCAAATTATTCCCATCCTGGCGCACCATTTTATACCTTTGCAAGGTCGATACCAAGATATCGTCTACTTTTGACAGATTTGCTCAACAACGGTTGTACTTTGTCCTAATCTTCAAAGACGAGGACCACGAGTTATGACTAGCAAACGTTTGAACACCGGGGGTTTGAAAACCATCCATAGTTTGCCTAATTTGTTCATCTATGAGGAGGCTGGTCAAAACTAAGGAGTTGATAGAAATACCGGACACCATTTTTAGTGAAGCTTTTGGTGATCTCTTCCTCTAATCTCACGCACCCAGCTGCATGTGGGCATAGAGGCAAATTGAAAATAACGCACCAGTCTTTTCAGCTTTGATTGCGATACTCCTGCGCTCACATTTAGTGTTAGGTATATAGGAATTGAAACGATATCTGCAATGTGGTAACATCCAGGAGGATTGGGTAAAAAAGCAATTGCATCACTGAAGGATTGAAGATAGCTGTTATAGAGTTGATCAAAAAATAAAATAAATGCCAAAAGTGATAATTAGAGATAAACTCAACCCATTTGAAGAGGAATAAAAATCTATACAGTATTTGGAGATACTAAACCTGATCTTTGGAAGCCTCTTGTTTTTTCAAGTCAAAATGTGTTGAACAGCTCGAAATAGGTCGATAGGTTTGCTGAACAACCTGAAAATCAAACGAGCAACTTCAGCTGAATTGGCGAAAGCGCAATTTATTCATGGTCACGAAGTTCGAGTGCCTGAGCAGGAGAAGTCCCTATAAGCAAGGACGACTTGAGTGTGCCCACTTACACTTTATTCAGATAGAAAACAACTTTACGCGGCCCAACCCCAACAACATATAATGCTTAAAGTTGCAGCCATCTACATTGCCCAAGATTGTCTGGATATAGTAGGAACTTGCGGCTCACAGGCATTAACAATGCATTTATATTTACTTAAAGATGTCTACTCTTTAATCATGTTGTTGATACGCTTTCAGATGCCAAATATCGATCCATTGTCGTAAGTCCATTTATTCAACACCGCCACTAAGTAACTGGACCTTACAGTGGTGTGACGGTTTGTGTACCACCGCGACCTGTTGAGCTATACTGGAGGATGTCCGTGTGACACTCACAGAGTCTCTCATACCTGGTTGGTCAGTGGTTAGAGGTTTGACAAACAAAGTCTTCTGGTCCTCCAGGTTGGGGACGAAACATGTATGGCGACGTGTTCCGTAAGAATGGTAATGTATTCGCATTTTCCGCCAAACACCGCTGCCTTGCAGTCAGGCTTTTATTCAGAGGCTTTGAGTGAGGACACTACGCGTTCTTCTGTCTAGGTCTAGGTGCTCTGGCAGGAGTTCAGCTCACGTACAGCCGCGACATTTATAATTAACGATAATCTCATGCCGCATCGGCCGTCGCGTGGTATCACCAGCAAGGCCGCCTTACTTGCTGCACAAATTAGGGCGAATAAGCGAAAACAGACTACTGCTGATGCCAGCCTTCTTACACCCACATTTTCCTTCCTACTCTAACCGACCCAAATGTTAATACTCTCTCCGCAGGTCCTCAGCACTGGGACCAGCCTTCTTGCCCGCCGTGCAGCACACTGAGCTGCAGCTTCTGTGCATACGACTTCGAAGTCTGTTTTCAAACCCCGAAAGCCTGTCTTCTTAGCTGCCTTTAATGTTCGCACACTGAATCAAGCAGGATAACAGATGACCATTATTCGCACGCTGGGTTTCCTCTACATTGATTCATGCTGTCTATCGGAAACAGGGATGCAAGACGCAAGTAAACTTGATTGACTGCTCCTTGCCCTATTCCATTTCCAGGCTGCGAACCTTCAGTGATGCACAGGCTGTGACGCCTGGATATGCCGAATAGATATGGTGTTGAGCGATAGCACAAAAGCGTCGCTACCTGGCTGGGTACTTAATGATATTCTTCTCTTTGTGGTTCTTTTGGCAACATTCCTGGAAGAATCTAGAGAAAGCTGGGTTCATCATACCCTGTTTATTGCATCCGCTTACGTTCAAACTGACTGACCCTTAATCTACCAAAGACAGTTTCTATGAGGCTATAGGTGGTCTTTTACAACGGGTTAATGGCCCATACATCGTTGTAGTCGGTGGTGACAAGAACGCCTTCCAGGATGGGGCCCGCGGATCTGCATTGCCCCAGGTTGGAAACGCTGGAAGATAAGGCTGCCAATCTATGTCACTAGCGTTTTTTGTCAGTTTCTACCCAGATTGTCTGAATGAATGTCTGGAAGTATGGGCATCTTAAAATGATTGTGATAAGCTAACCCAAGCCCCTTTCCAGCTCACTTTTATTCTTTTCTTCACCATAAGACTTTCGACTAAATCGTGGCTGTATGATAGCGAAGCATCAGTGTTGAGCACTGTAGTCGTGCTGTGAATGATGAAGATGACGAATGGGTCGCATTTTGAATTCGCCAGTCAGAATTCTAAACTACTAACATTTGGGCTATATCTCATTTTGGTTGGTATCCCTATAACCAGGATACCTCCTACTCCGTCGATGGTTCCTTCTTGCGATTATTCACAACTGACAAATCGAATTTAATGGGTAGGCCATTGACTACTATGATGTTTATTCATCCAGTTTCACTTACCCAGACACCATCTACAGAAGCACGCCAGGCATCGAAGTGCTTCTGAAGAAACCATTCTCAACATGATTGACTTGACTGGGAGTAGTGGTGACTTTCGGCTTCGCGATAGTCTTTTTCCAACCTTAAATGCCTGGCTTTATCTGGTTGCGGATGAACCAACCGAACGTGCTTTCAAAATTCGGTAGGTCACTGTATTTTTGACCCGGAGTACCAATCACGCCCGTGTCCGCTATCAACTCTCAGAGACAAAACACTCTATGTTCGTTTTTCTGGGGATTATGTCATAAATATCCGGAAGCTAGCAATGTAGTGGAGCGCGCATTTTGGCGTCATGCATAGATTTGTGTTTAGTGTCCCTTATTCCTTTTCAAAAGACATTTTCAGTTCAACGGAAGTCTTACTGACAGGTCCATGGGAGGTGGAAAGATTTTTAAGTGCGAAAGGGTCTACCTTGGACGAGTTCCCTGCGTTGTATATATACATATACATAAAGGCGGCATATATGTATCAGCCTCTTTTGTCCCTCTGGTCGTGCAGCGCTGCTGGTGAGGCTGTTGTTGGTGTTTGACCATATTCTTTTATTTGCGAGCCCTTTAGGTTTTATCAGCAGTTTGTCCTGGCTTGTTTATCTATGGCGTCGCTTAGCATAAACTCTGATACTAATTTCTTTAGAATTCAGAGTAAGGTTTTATCTCATCTCTTATGCACAGGCACGTGCGTATCTCGGTTGGATCGGCATCGCTCGTGCTCCCCACTGGAATGACTCCCTCGTACCAGGAAAAAGTGCATCACCTCCCAATCCACAAATTCAGCTCATCCGGCGGACCGAAGCCGAATGCAGGGACATAGTACTCCAATATAAGACATTATGGTACGTTGACATCTCCGAATACTTGAAGATAACACCATGGAATCAGCTATACTTGTACTTTCCAGGTCTAGTCTTTCCTCACGTGTTTGGCTATTGGTTACTAAACCGTCGGCCACAAGGTGATTCTCATGTAGTCCACAGTTTTCGAGGCGGTGTTCATCGGTTTCTTCAGAACCGTCAGCTAACAGAGCTTCTGTTTATCTTGCTATTTAACACATGGAGCTATTCACTATTCACTGGTCAATTTCTTTCACCAATGACTCACCTGTGTCCGCGGTCGAACCAGACATACAGAAGTGATAGCCATTTGGAGTTTACCAGGAAATGAAACATTTATATGAACTCTTGAGTGTCGCAATGGTTCTTTGACGCCTGACGTAAGTGTTGCTATAATCTGTGATTCGAGATGCACATTCATATCTATGAGAATGATTCCACACTTTTTCTGAACAAATGTTGAGCTTCAGGGTCTAATTTTTGCGAAGCCAGTGACAAAGCATTCTCATGTCATCCAGAGAAGTATATTTATTGTGCATCAATAGTGACGCTGAAATAAACATAATAATTTACAAAATAATCCTTTCAGCATACAATGGAAATAATAGTCACTACAACTAAACAAATGGTGCTTAACATTCCAAAGTAGGCTTTCTAAACTGACACGAAAAACCATTCTACTTAAAGACCATTACGTGACAAAACTTTAGGAACTGGATTCCGAACGCTCGAAACATCCTAACAATTTTCCTCTTCTGTTGAGGGCAGATGGATTCACTATTGCTATCACCTCAAAGAATTTGCTGCTTAATGTTTTCAATATTTGCAACTGAATACCCTGGTGGACACATTCTGGGTAAGGTAGAATTTGGCCCTGAAGGTAGAACGACCGCAAAAGCTGGTACTTGTAGATTTCCGGTGTAACCGACGAGAACTAGCCAAGCCCAACGTTTGAATTGCCTGCGTCGTCATCAACGTGATTCAGGTAGAATCTGGTTGCCAGTGCATGCAGTTTCCTAGGTTATTCTACAAACGCGGTTGACACCATACATCCTATTATATGAAGGGGGTTAAACTGATTGATTCAGTCTGAAATGTCTAAATAACTAGCTTTTATAATAACAATGGACAAGCGTCAATTTGAATTCTCAGACGAAACAAAGCAAAACAGATGTTTTTTAGTAGAACCGTCTGGGAAAAGTAAGTGCAATTAGGATGAGGATAGTTAAGTTTCAGACTCAGATTAGTTTTCAGATACAACCCAACCCTCAGCCGAAATCTTTAGTTAATCTTCAGGCCTTTTCATTACAGATTTCGTCCTTCGAACGTTGCCATTATATGCTGAAAAGCCATGAGACACTGTATAGTTGTTTCATCCTTACTGAGAATCGTTGGCGCATCTCACGAAACTCCCAGCATTCGGTACCTGCAACCTCACGGCTACTAGTTTAATACACGTTTGGCCGCAGATGGTCATTGAAGTTTACAGTTATTGTTGTTATACTTTCGGACCACCGTTTTTATGAGTGTTCCACAGAGGAGCCGGCACTTAATGGGCTGGCACTTCTGAATCACGTGGTGGGTATCTGTGATTTTGATGAAGGAAGGGGTTACATTTCTTATATGAAAAAGAAAAGAAAGTATATTGTTGAATATTCTGGGCTCAACTACGTCTCAGGACTTTGTGACTATGCATTGTCCCAAAACTTCAGACTTTTTGCACCAATCTAAAACTGACTGCGTTTCTAAAGGTGACGCCTAATTTTCATCTACGTGGATGAAGTTTTTTATCACAGCGCAAGCCTAAATGTGCTAGTTTCAACATGTCCTGTTATGTCCCGCAAATTTTATTTTTCAATGAAACGTCAGTGATCATACCGGAAAATGGAAATAACGTCTATTATCGTTATGTACATTGGTTTTTGTACTGGATTTCTGTACACCTGGATACACCGACGAGTTGGACGCCCCTCACTTCGCAGTTCACCCTCAAATTCTGCTGGGTTTTAGTTGATAAAGCAAGATATCTTCACTGTTCTCTTCGTCCCAGTTTGTTCATTTTTATACACCACTTTGCACAGCGCATACCAACAGATTAGTCTGTAGACTATGTGATCGGTTTCTTGCACAAGACTAAAAAGGGTGACTGATTTGGCGGGCTGATGGCATACAGAAAGGGGGGTTGATATGCGCAGATTCCGTGCTTTGGAACTTTTGTGTTGGTTGATAAATCTGTGGTCGGAAGTTTACAAGAAGGCTTGTTCACCAGACTAAACGCTCAGATCAACGGCTACAGTCCGTAGATAGAAATAACCATGGGTTTGGGTCTTCGGACTCAGTTTGTAAAACTTTTCAAAGTTGTATCTACTGCCATATCCATTCATAGACTATGGTGCGATTTTTCACATTTTGAGAGTGGATTCTACTTTCTGAAGCTAGAACAACTGTTTGTTATAAACAAACAATAAAATACTGTACTTTATAACCAAAGTCTGGTTTAAATTACTTTTGGCCACCTAAAGACTGAACTCTCCTCTATATCGCACGATGTGAAACAAATATGCTGCCAAACTTGATGTGACTATCGTCCGAGCAATAGTTGGCAACTTCAAGGCGGAAAAAGAGCCGTAGAATAATAGAAATCACTTCCTTGATGGAAAAATAACATCTTTTAAGTGATTACGATATCAACATAAAAGCTATAAAGGAAGGAACATACACGGTCAGATCAATTGAAGTGCGAAAGATTGATCAGTTTTTTCTGATGAGGAGAATGGGGATGAAAAGTAAATATTACAAACTATACCTGACATTTTACCCAGAGTGAAAATGTTGCGCGGTATTCTACCGAGTGTAATGCCCTTTATTTATATACTTCATGAACGGTTGCCACAAAACGTTCATTGTAGAGTTGAAATTCTTCCCAGAACAACAAAGGTAGTATTTTGGTGGAAAACCCCTTAGCATTAATTTGTGGATGTTTGATAATACAGTCAACTTTTCCATAAGGTTTGCGTGGTTCTCAGTAGAACGCACTCTACATAGGATGTATATTACACTTTTTTTTGCAAAAATCAGATTCTGACGTTATTCACGAGAGTAAAGCAACTGGTTCATTTTTATACGTCAATCCATATCTTGTACTATATATATATATATATATATATATATATATATATTTCCGACTGACTGACGAGCAACTGTGATGTGCATCTAAATCTGCTAGGTTCAAAATCGCACATCCATTACCGCGAATAAGACAGTCTCTCACGATTAAACATACAAGAAATAAACCAGCTTTCCGTTTGTAGATGTTTATTACCAAATTTACTTGTTTCTATTTGGCCCAAAAAAATCAGTCGGCTATTACCGGCAACATTCTAGGGTTACCTGGTTTATGCAGGTTAGACACGTTTGACATTGCACTGGTTAAAAGAAGTTGATGCAAAGTCTTGGATAGAATCGAGAACAACATCGAGACTAATGCGGCCGTAAAGATGGCACGAAAAACCTTGATCGAGAGGATAAGCACTGGGAAACTTCTCTGTGCCCGATTCGTGGTTGCCGTTTGCGGGTATAGATGTACTGTATAACGTCGTTCAAGTCAGAAGAATATGTACACTGAACCAAGGAGACATTTGTTCGATCGACAGCCGTTGAAAGAAATTATTCAATGGAGTTTCAATGGGACGGATTCTCCGTTTATGATTTTTGGAAACACGGTGATCGAT